TCGTTTCAATGTGTGTGTATTTTAAACTGTCTATACCCAACGCCCAACTATTAGATATAATTTGTTTAAATAATACTTTAATAGTAATAACTAAAAACAAAAATAGTGAAAAAAGAGCATAGGYAATTTATAAATKTATAACAAAGTTGACGAGTAAAATATTCATTTAATATAATCAAAAATCATTATAATACATGATCGATCGATTGAAAAACCTCTCCACTTTGCATTTAATACAACAAATCTAAACAAGCCGTTTACCTTTATATCACAATTAACAAAATCGAAAAACTGTTCAAGTAACGCGGACGAGTCGGATAGCTGCTTGAAAATGTCATCATCGCCAGAATGTTCACCACCATCCTGGACACTMACTCCTCCTCCGTCTAATGCGTTGTCTAATTCGCTGGATATTTCCGATTGGAGTAGTTCGCCGAGACAGGAAACTTCGTTACCCTAAAACGAAAATGAAATTTTAGCTAACATATTGTTTAAATCATCCAATAATGACAATTGGTAATATCGTTCAACTACTTACAAGACATTCGGTAAAATCGTCAATTTTTGTCTCGGCCTCTGGACACCAGAGTAACACATCGTCCATGAAAGGCATACCTGAACCTGAGATGGCTGATGTCCTTCCAGCAATCACTACACCAGCAGACAGTGACGAGACGGGAGGTGTGGGTTTCACAAAAGCCAGGATGACAATTAATGAATCACGGACCCACGTTTATTCGATATCTGTAATTTAAAGAAAAATATATTAAAATAAACGATTTGYGTTGAACCAATTATATTGGTACCTAGTAATATAGGTGTACTGGRACAGTTTTTAGAATGACACACAATACCAGTAGGTATACTAAATAACAATAACACTTATAAGGATCTATTGATTWCCCAATTTTTGATTTTTTGATCCACTAGATTAGGTAGGTACCTATTATTTATAAATACCTCTTATTTTAATAAAATATGTATACCTAAATTTGTAGTACCTATGAATAGGTAATACCAATAAAACACAACAGATGAACAATCATAACTAATAAATAGTAACATTAATTTACTATTACTTATTTTGAAAACAATTAAATTA